AGATTCCTTCAAATCAGCAGAAAATTTTGCTTCCATTGATCCGACACAGTCCATCGAATTCGGAAGGAGAAATGACCTCGGCGAATCTCTATGCTTCACGGAACTTCCAGATACTTCCTTTGACTCGTTTTAACCGATAGCCCTTTAGCTTCTCGGGACAATCGAGTCCTGACCACATCTCGAAAGTCAACAGATTGTGACCCTAAACGTGGAGAAGTACTCGGTTGGTTCTCATGCTATCCCTAGACGAAGAAGTTCAGGAAAAAGGATTCTATCAAAGGAAGAGCCTCTTGCTGAGCTATCTTGTTACAATCCATTGATGACATGGAACGAACATGATGACATGAGTGTGCCTTGGTATGCATTATTCGAATCACCTTCTAGGAATCCATTGTTTAAACCGGGAATGCCCTGTAAAAGAGTGAAACGATCAGATTGTACTTTAGAGTGCACACACATTCTTGTTTGAAGTAAGTTCACAAAAGACCAAGGAAAAAAAGATATAGGAAACTACAGAAATACAGGGTGCGATAATCACTCCATATAACTCTTACAATAAGAGTTTCAGACAAATAATTTTCAACGGTTGGAATTGTTCCATCTACATTCATCAATGTACGAGAAAACGATCAGATTGAAAGCAGTTGAAATCAATACAATCTGTTGGAGAATCGCCTAATCGGCCCCTCTATATATCTTAATACATAAATATACATCGATCGTAACATATTATCCATTCAAACCAGTGAACCAAATATTAAATTTGGACAGAAAACATCAAAACACAGATGACAATTGCATTCATTCCCAAGAGAACTACCTGCAGCAGGAAGTTTCCGATGGCCCAGGCGCTTGGCGGTAACCATTTGATGCCGATCGAAGATCTGGAAAATCCCGGTCATGCACCCGATTTGCTTCTGCAAATCCGGGTTTTCATCCGCCAACGAATGTAGCAACTTCGCAGCCATATTCGAACTCGACTAATAGAACCTCAAAAACTCCTAATGATTCATCAGCCTTTTCACAAACACCTGAATTGCAATCATCATTTCATCTTCAAGATAATCCAAATTTCAACACACAGATTATAATTCTATCTCCAAAAACCAACCACTGCTTTGAAACCACAACTCAAGACTATAAAGCTTGTGGCTTCCTACAGCATCAAATTTGTCCTTTTTTCCATGAAAATCCCCCAAAGCTCAAACTAAATTTTCTCAGCAACCAAACAAAACTGCAAGAGGGAAAAAGGGGGTAAAACTTACTAAGAAACACATACACGTAGCATTTATATATGTATGTATATATTTAATACCTTACTGAAACTTCACAGGCATACCAGACAATGGGTTGAGCAGTTATCTGATAATACAACCAAAAAGGAAAGAAGAAAGGAAGGGACCCAAATACCCCATTCCACAAAATCAACAGTTTTGTAAAGCAATACAACAGTTAATCCATTAACTTACAAGAAACTAGAACAGAAAACCAAACTGTAAGAAGGAATATCTTCAGATCCAAGAAGGATTTCAAAAGAAAAAGAAATAATCCCTGAGACAAACCCAAATATTCCTTTGTGTGAGAATAGAGGTCAGAGCTGAGGAAGTAGACATGGGAATATTAACAGAAAATTAATCAAAATACTCAAACATGGTGTATCAAAATGTGTAATTACATAATAAAATTCAAATTTAAAATCTTTTTCTTATTATTTTTTATGATTTCAAGATAGTATCTATTATTCTTAATTTTTATATAATAAACACTCAAATACTTCTACAAATATGAACTCAAAACTTTTAAAACTAACTATCATTCATTTTAATTATTAAATAAAACACATAATACAATAGAAATATACCAAGTAGAAGAGGTTAGTGGGTGTATAAATGTAGGGTCTTATACTACCTCTCCATTTGAGAAGAGCATGTGGGTAGGTCTACATCTGTCGCTGCGTTGCCATGTGATTCTGTCAGCATTTACAAATGAAGAGACCCTAAAGAAAATTAAGATAGGGTAGGGATGCCACCCGGTCCGGCCGATCTTAATTGGTTTAATATATTCATCTTTAAATTTGATGTTTTTTGTTAAATTATTTTTTGATTTTTTTGGTTAAATTAAACTTTAGGGTTTGGTATTTTTCAGGATAAACTACACATTTAGTACCTGAATTATTAATTTTATTCTGTTTTCATCACCTAACTATTTTTTTTTAAAATCATACATAACGTTATGTTTTAGTTTCATTTTGATCACCTGCTGATAAAAAGTTAAAAGAACTACTGGCGTGACCTTTTTTTTTTATTTTTTTCAATGATGAAATGACATTATCTTATGGTGACACGTCAACATTACTGTTAATAATTTTTAGCGGCGGATGATCAAAATGAAAACAAAACTAAACGGATTTCAGAAAAATAGTTCGGTAGCCAAAATGGAATAAAATTGATAGTTGGGGTCCTAAATGTGTAGTTTACCCTGATTTTTATCAAACTGACTTTTGAATTAAATTTTATTTAATAAACCAATTCATATGATTAATTTAATATTTTCATAATAAAAATATAAACGATTTAAAATAGAAAATAATAATTTATTTTTAAAGATTAATTAATGTGACACGTATCCCCACTTTAGATCATTTAAAAGAGTGTCACTTTTAATCAAAAAGAAAAAGAGTGTCACTTACAAATTAGGTGGAACCAACAATCTGATTTATTATTCAAAAATTATATATATATATATATATATATCATATTAATATGTTTCATTATAAAATAAAAAATATATCAACGATCAATGACAGAGTTTGGATTCAAGATTAAACAATAAAAGAGCTGAATTGCATAATTTTAAAATTAATAAGAACTTAAAAAGTATTTAATTCAAAATTGGAGGGCACTAAATTAGTCCTCAAACTATTACCTCTATTTTAAATTAGTCATTAGATTTTAAATTATCATATATCAATCTCCAAAGTATGATATACGTTCTAAATAAGTCCCTAAACTTTAAAGCTTTATATATCAATCCTCAAACTATCAATATCATTCTATTTTGGTCCTTTTATTAAAGGATTGATATAAAATATTTTAAATCTTTTATTAAAGTATTTTATCAAAAATAAAATGATATTAATAGTTTGAGGATTGATATAAAATATTTTAAAATTTCTCATTTAGAACATGGATCATAATTTGAGGATCGGTACAGAATAATTTAAAATACAAATCATAGTTTAGAAACATTTAATGCAATTATGTCATCAAATAATTGGACCTTATAGTTTTAAGTAGTTATGTTTTCTTTTCATGTGTTGAAATCCAACTTGCTTAAATGGAGGAGTTAGGCTAACCCAACATTAATTTAGTTATAGGAAATAGGAAAGAATAACATGGCCTTTTTGGCCATTCTTGCTTTGTCTTTGAATCTTTGCCAACTCAAAGTAATTTAAAATGTAATAAATATTAATTTTAGAATATAATTTCCCTACACATGGGAGACCATAACGCCCCTATATGTTTTATTCTATTTTTCATTTCAAATCAAAAACATTAATTTAAGAGTTGACTGTATTATGTATATTTAAATTATATCTTTTATTTTAAACTAATCTTTAAATTTTAAGTATTTTAATTTTATCTCGAAACTACCACTTCCATTCTAATTGGTCTCGGACTTTTGAATATTCCAAATTCATCCCGAAATGACGTGACATAAACACTAATTAATGTTGGGTTTAAATAAAATAATAATTTAATTTCCAATTTCATTCTAAATAATGATTTACGAGGACATGATATAACATTAATTGTCGTTTATATCCTAATATTTTTACATAATGCACATCAATATTTAAATGGCAATTGATAATTTTTATAATAATTTTATAAACAAGGAATATGATTAATGACGTGGAATTAAAATGTTCAAAAGTTTAGAGACTAATTAGGATGAACGTTACAGTTTAAAGATGAAATTGAAATATTTAAAAGTTCACAGATCAATATATAATGAGAATTATACTTTGAGGATACGTGATCCAATTAACTCTTTACAAAAAGACGGAAAAAAATTTAAGTTCGCTTGTAATGACGTGGATGAAGAAGGAAAAAATGAAATTTAAAAATAAGAAAAATACAGTAATTTTTTATTTATGTTTAAATAAAACTATAAAATAAAAATGAAAAATAATTAAAAAAGAAGAGAGATAGAATTGAAATTAATGGTTAAGTTGACTAATGATTTAAGTACAATAATATATTGGATTTGATGGGCTGTCTGTAGGGCCCTATTTGTGAGTTATTAGGATGGGCCCAAATTAGAGAGTTGGAGTGGGCCGTGAGATTTATGATCGTTTAAGAAAGAAATAGGAAATCATTAACTACTACATTTAAAACATGTTTAAAGGCACATGCAACATGGGACCTACTCTTTTGCTAAATGTAAACTAAATAATTATAGGATAAGGTCTGGCTTAAGGATGATCATGGGTCGAGTCAGAACTTTGACCCATTCAAATTTGATCCGAAAATTATATTTCTTCATAAATGTTAAAGTAAGGATTAAGAATAGAATGGGTTGGGTCAAAATTAATTTGAACTTTTAATAGTTAAGGAATTCAACAAAGCATTATTATTCCGTATAGTAAGGGGACTATTTGTAAACTTTAACCGAAAATCAATTAGTTTAAACTTAAGAGTTACTTGAATTTAGACACTTAAATTTAATTCTTTCTATAACTCAAATTACTCGAATTAAATTCAATAAGAATGGATTCGAAAAAATAATTACAAGAATTAAATTTAATTTGATCTTATTTATGGTATTTGTACTCGAATTTGAATTACATAGTTTATCAATGTTGTATAAAAAACTACATTGTCAAAATAACATGATGATTGAGACTTTTTTAAATGAGTATATTCATATTTGTGGGAATCCGAAATTAAATCATCAATAAAAGAATAAAAAGAAAATATTTAAATTACATGAATATTTTAAATTTTTATGGGTGTGATTGTCTCAATAACATCCCTCTCAATCCATCCTCGACTATTACATAAATGAGTTCTGTGCGAATGTAAGAAATTCTTCGGATTTGTAAAGAAGGGATTGAAGATATAACCTTGCATCAGCTGCTGCAGCAAGGGATTCTTCATCTTGCTTCTCTTTGGCAACATCGAGAGCGGCGATGTAAGCTGTCTCGCTTCTTCGATTTTTGGCATCTCCTTATCATCTATGTCATCCTGTTTACACCGAAATTGAAATCGATATAAATATTTTAGGAAAAACTAAAAATGCAAAGGAAATTTTCAATAAATTGATTAGGCAAATGATGGTGAGCTTACTATGTAAGGGAGATGCTCCAAATGATACGGCGCAACATCGTAATCTTCGACACGTATTGTATGCGTATTCTTCGTCAAACCATTTAACAACGGCATGAATGATGAAAATTCCCCTCGCATGGAGTTTATATCATTTTGCAGTTTCTCCAACTTTTGCTCGGATTTCATTGCTTCCCATTGTGTCTTTTCCAAGGCAGCCTGCTTGTCTGCTAGTTTAATCTAAAGACAAAAGCATGCATATGTGTGTATGTGTGTGTATATATATATATATATTAGCAGGAAGACATGAAAATTGTACCTTGGCATCAGATAGCTGCAGCTGAATTGAGTTGATTAAAGAGTCCTTTTCTGCAGCAACTCGGTTCACTTGATCAAGTTCTGCTTGAACATCATTATTCTGCTTCCTCAGAAGCTCCTCCTTCTCTGATAACTTTATCTGGAGATCCCCCACTTGTCGTCTCAGTATAATTAACTCCTCGTTTTCTTTTTCCGGTATCGATGAAAAGATCGATAAACCATCACCATTCTCTTCTACTCGATCCTTTTCCCGCTGCACCGGAATAGATAGAGCTGCATCCCTTCCTTGTACATGGCTAACCTTTATGAACAAAAACAGCAACATGATGTATTTAAATCCAAGAAAATGAGAACAAATTTGATAACCAAAAGGGTTGGATAATGAAGAGTTGTAATGTAAAAGTATTAAACATTGGATGTTTTACATTTTACGTCTTTGCTCTCCACACAAATGTATAATGAAGAGTCAATTATGCATACTATAATAAGACCGCCACTTCAATTCAACAAATACCAACAATTGATAACCAAAAAAAAAACAATTATTTAGAGACATGAAAAAACACCAATGATTAATGAACCTATATTATTTGGATTCAGATATGAGTATCATATACAAATACGAGTCGAATTTAATATTAGAATGTTCACTTTTATTCTAATGTCCTTGAACAGTTTATATTGTAATCTATGAGAACTAGACATGTATATAGGTCGGGTAAAGTTTTTAGTCGACTTTAACCCAATTCAAGTATTATAAATCTTCCACCCATTATCACTTAATCCGGTTCAAATTATATTAGAATGTTCATTTTTATTCTAATGTCCTTGAACGGTTTATATGTATCTATGAGAACCAGAGATGTATATAGGTCGGGTAATGTTTTTAGTCGACTTGAACCCAATTCGAGTATTATAAATCTTCCACCATTATCACTTAATCCGGTTCAAATTTAGGGACTCCATCCGATTTAAACTTGACTGATTTTTTTGGATAAAATCAACATCATACCCAACCTGTTTTTTAAGTAAAAACTCACACTCGAAGGGATCTAATACAAACTTAGAAAATATTTTTTTATTCTCTACATAGAGACATAATATATATATATATATATATATGATAATTTTGGATCGAATTTTTTCATCTTAAATTTAATCAATCAACTCAATCTTACTCTAAAAAAATTTGACTCAAACTAGTATTTTTTAAAAAAAATTCTAACCATATAAGATTAGATAAAAATTTGTGAATATGAATCTCATAGCCATCTCACACTAGAACCCATCGAAACCCAATAGGGAGGCTAGTAGAGATCTATGATAGGCTGATTAACTAGTCACATCAAAAATAGTGCACATTAAATAATATATTTAAATAATAAATAATTTGATATTATTTAATAAATCTCAAATTTATATTTATATAAAAATATTATGTTAAGAGATTATCTACTCAAATCAGATATAACATGAATTAATCAGAATTAATCAAGATGAAACGTTTGAAAAAAAATAGAACCAGTGTCAATGTTACCTTTGGCCAATCTTCAACGCATATGCCTAACTTGAGCTGGCCACTTTCAAGTCGCAATCCGTGCCACATTGTCGCCTTCGCTCAATCTTCAACGCATCATGGTCAACTCTCTCATTGCCCTATCATGTCAATTGTACCACCAAAAATTGTTTGTATTCTTCTCGATCTTATATTTGTTTAAGATTTATTTTAAAAATATTTATATTTTATAATAATTTAATGCACAAATAGGCTTCTAAAATAAATGGTTATTTTCTCGGTATATCACCGGTGATCGATATATTATCGATCTAACCGGTTAGATTTTTCGATTAACCCCTTAGCAGAAAAGCGCCCCCTCACCGCGTTATATGTTGATTGGTGCACGTGGGTATAGCGCGCCCCCCCCACGATATACGGTGATCTGGCGCCACGTGGGTATAGCGCCCCTGATCCGCTATACGCCACGTAGGGGTATAGCACAAATCAGGGGTCGCGCTATACGTCGTACCCAAATTATATTTAATGTGGTCCCGATCCGCGCTATATCTTTTATCTGAATAATTACATATAGCGCGGTGCAGGTACCGCGCTTATGCTTATAAATACACTCCTCCGGCTCACATCTCCTCGCATCTCTCATCTCTTATAATTAATACAATAATTCCGTCACGAGTAATAATTGCAATCTTCTCAAATTTGATTTAGAAGTTCGTGCGATTTTCGTTATAAGGTAATTTGTTATAATTTTTTAATTATACTTATTGTTTATTATCATTATTTGAAAAATATTATACTAATTATTTTCAATTAATTTTTTGTTTGTAAAATTGAAAAGCGGGAGCATACGTCGAAATAGTTTGCGGTGCAAGTAATAATATAAAATATATTATTTAAATTATTTACGTGATGTGTAAAAATTTATTGTGTTTATTTCGTTCATATATAATTTATTTAATCAGGTTTGTTTAAGTTATTTTTTTTGCAGATATAATATTGCTGCATTTTAAACTCAAAGAATGGCGCGACTTTCAACTATTGTTTATTATGATGGTGAAATTCGAGAAGATGAACCAGCGTTTTTTCGTATCAAATGAGCGTGTTAAAATATCATTCAAGAGAACCATACTCTGAGGAGCTAATAAGAAGATTTCGAGGAAGATTCATGTTGGAAGTAACAAAAGAATATCGTCGTTGCAGTACAGATTTCCAACATCATTGTTGCCATTAACTTATACACGTTCGAACTTTTGAACAATGATGATGTTCAATGATGGTTGAAGCTCAAAGTAATTATTCAGACGCCGCTATTGAGATGTATGCACATTTTGTTCAAGTGTGCTGTTCGGGGTCAATCTTAAGCTCACACTATGGGTTGGCTGAACAGTTGATAAAGTTGACAACCGACTACAATAATAATGTTTTAATGCCATAATGGGGAGACATTCATCCACAACTCCTTACGATATGTACCGAGGTGGGTCCACGAACAATCCGTATGGCAACACCGCGTCCAGTTAAGGGGAAGGCATTCATCTGCAAATTTCTTTGACCATAGGAGATGCCATCGACGCAACCATCTGTGCAGTTTTCATTTGACACGATGGCTTCAAGCTTCAGGGAGGCATTTGACTGCGAGCTTTTTCGATCTCAATGTCGATATGCCTTCCAGTTCAAGGGGAAGACGTGCAAGTAGTAGGTTCTTCGACCTAAATGTGGAGAGCATGGAGGAACCATCATCTCTACCAGAAGAACCGCTTCGTGAGCCTGGTGCGTGGTGCTGAGACTGGACTAATCATTCACCCAGAATCACGCAATTCAACTCCGATGATGAATCCAGGAAATGTGGCATAAGTGACCCTCCTGCACCATGTATGAAGCTGATTATGGTGCAATGTACGGGCCAGAATTTGCGGATGCCTCATCTCGGTGACTATGATATTATCATCAATAAATATGGTGTATCTTTAGGCATGGAGTTTTCAAGCAAAAAAGAAGCGATGATGGCTATCAAAAATTACAATATTTGTAATTCTGTTCAGTCCAGAGTCAACCGATCGACGACCGAAAAATATGTATGCTACTGTACCCGACGCGAAACGGATGCAATTGGATGGTTCGCGTATCGAAATGAAGAGAAAAACAATATGGGAACTAACAGTATACAACGGTCCTCATACATGTTGTGCTGGAGGGGTCAACCAAGATCATCCGAACTTGGACTCTGAAGTGATATGCCAGGGTACACCGTCTCCTATAAAAAAGCTTGGTTGGCAAAACAAAATGCCATTGTCAAACTTCATGGTAAATGGGATGCATCTTACAACGAACTTCCAGATTGGTTTAGGCTGGTGCGTTGAATCCTGGGAAAATTGGACTTCGAAACCTCTTATGCATACCATAATGATAGAGTTCTTCGCGATCGATGCCAATTCTACTGGGTTTTTTGGAGTTACCCACAGTGCGTTAATGCTGCCAAATACTGCAAGCCTGTGGTCCAGATCAACGGGACTTTCTTGTATGAAAAATACAAGCAAGTTTTATTATTGGCAGTTGTCCAAGATGGCAATCGCAACATTCTTCCAGTTGCTTTTGCTCTTGTCGAATGAGAAGATTCAGATTCTTGGGCTTTTTTTCTCCGAAATTTACATGCACATGTTATCACGAGGGAAACAATTTGTGTCATTTCAGATCGCGGAGTTGGGATCAAAGCAGCAATGGAGTCTTTGGGTCCAATGTGGCAACCACCCTTTGTCCAACATAGGTATTGTCTCCGACACATTGCTGCGAACTATCATGGAATGTACAAGAAGAATGATGAGCATCAATTAATTATGCGTATGGGTAAGTGAAAGCAAGTTAGTAAGTTATACATTTTTTGATCAGGTTACAAACTACTTCCTCGAACGTTTGTTTCAATGCTTCAAGATTTGCGAGCGAAGAACGAGGAATGATACGATTACATCAGCCTCATCGATAAAGAAATGTGGACGAACGCATATGATGGTGGATATCGATATTGACACATGACGACCAACTTGGCTGAGGCAATCAATTCAACTTTAAAGGGTACACGTCACTTACATGTAGCGGCTTTGGTAAAAACTACATATTTTCGTTTGGGGCACTTTTTGCGAAGCTCGGGGGACAAGCTCAAACCTGGATGCAAGGCGGTCATGTCTATCACCCTAGATTAGTTGCAGATCTACAGAAAAAAAAATTGATGCATCAAATGGAATATCTGTAACAAGCTTCTCTAGAAGGCATGAAATGTTTCGTGTCACAGAGTTGCCCCGACCTCTTCAAGGGATTGAATCTGTGTCGTTAAGAGTAAATCTAAGGGACAGAGCGTGCGACTGTGGGTTTTTTCAAGCTCTTAAGTATCCATGCTCTCATGTGATAGCAGCTTGCTCGCATACACGTCAAGACTATAACCATTTTGTGGATCCCGTATACCTACAATCTGAAGTTTTTAAGGTATACAAATTTGAGTTTCCCCCATAGGTAATGACAAAACCCTAACGAGGTTCAAGATTGGCTTCCGATTGTACCAAATCCGAGTTTATTGAGGGAGAGTGGTCGTCCAAAATCTAATCGAATTCATTGCGATATGGAGAAAGATCTAGACAAGACAGAAGATGTGGCCATTTTAGAAACCCAGGACACACTAGAAAACATGTCCACTTCTGTTGTCATCAAGTAACAATTGATGAGGAAATGATGTATTTGTTTATCAAATAATTCTTGTATTTAATTTGCATTTACTTCAAGTTAATGTCATTCGATAATCGCTGATGAAGATTAAAAAAACGAACACAATTATTAAATTTTATCAAACTAATAACAATTTGATATTTAAATACAAAATAAGAATTAAATGGTAAATGATAACCAAATTACAATACTGATATTAAATGGTAATAAACAAAATTAA